ATATGTGTACCCATATATGCATGCAGCATCACGACCGCTTCATACCAATCCCTTCGCTTCATAATTTGCTTAGCAAATGAATCAATTAGAGCGTCTGGAACAGTCGTCCATTTGTGGGCGGGCGGGCAAGGGGGCGTTTGGGACGTAAAGTTGTGGCTTGATAGCGCCCTTATAAGGGCACTCCCCTGGAAAAGGCATTATGCAGCGCCTGCTCAGGGTCGCGGAATTCCGTCCTGCCAGGCGTATTAGTCCTGCTCGTATTGGAGGATTTATCGTCCCAACTGCCTTTAAGACTCAGCACGGAATTGCAATTCAAGGCACATCGCAAAGAAGGATCTAATGCTATGAGCGCGACATATTCCTTTTGTATATTTTCCAGGCCACTGGAACATGGAGAATTCTCAGAGCTCCCAATTCACGCACTTCCGTTCCGTCCGCTATCACTCCACTGGAAACAGCTAACCATAGGGAGTGGTGACGTTTGCAAAATTCACAAGCCAGCGAAGCGTTGTAAGCCAAAAAACCTTTCATCGGGCCAAGTAATTCGGACAGACTTTCTCGTGATGCGAGTGAATGCCAAGGGTCGACCGATGCCCGAGTGTCAGTTTCACTCATGCCCGCCCCGGCACCTCCCTCCCACCTCGTACCGCAAGTCCATGGATAAACTTCCAACGTAAACGAGTACACTGCAATCGATTCACGCTACATGTGGTTGTCAAGGACGACCTCATTACTAAACTCAGGGCAAAAAGTAGCCGCTATGCGATGACACCCCAATCTGTTCACACACGACAATTCTATTGCACTCAAAAAAACGCTTTTATTCGAGCGAGTCAGAATGAAAGTCGTATCGGTAGCCTTGACTATCATAGCAGCACTAGAGTTTTCAACACATTATTTCATGTAGCAATTGTAGGTGTGGTAGGTCCCAAATGCAACGAATTAACGAGTATAAACTCTAGTCCACGAGAGACAGAGCCGTTCTGCCTCTTACCGAGCTTGCGGTTCCACCCTTCTAGATAGCACTAATCATAAAGGCAGCGTCCGCGTTCAGTTGAGATTTTCCTCTCCCTTCGTGAGCAGGTAGTCAGGTCCGCAGAGGCAACAACTACACCACTTTCGCGGCGCAAAAACGAGTGAGGAGGCCACGATACCGTCGTTCTTCTCATTGGCCCAACCTACAATCATTGGCAGGTAGAAGAGGTGAGTTGATAAGGGAGAACAGCTGATATCAACAAATGAGCACTCGTGCTCTTCGCCTTGAGCACGTACAACCTCAATTAAGCAAGGGGTTCTATATAGAGCCTTTCCTATGATTTCTTTCTGATTTTTCTTCACTAAGGGGTTACTTGCTACCTTGTTATAAGTATTTGAGCCGCATAACTCATCAAATTTGAATGCGGGCTCAGCCTTTAACTAACGGTAAGACTTCAGTTGATTAAGGAGCTCGTATCACAGCCAGGGCACGCCATGGCGTTGTGATAAATTTCTGCTAAATATGGCTTTTCAAAAGCGGGTTTTGCCGTTCTAATAGACTTCCCCTTTCAAAACAGCACCTCATTTTTTCACGCCCACTATTAAAAAATTTGCCGTTGTGGTTTTGTTGTGACAAATTCCAGACAACGCAAAAGATCCACATCTTCGGCAGAGTACCACTCCCAGCTTGTTTGAAGACTTGAGTAAACTACTAAAACACACCTTTTTGTCGAAACTAAGAGGCATTAGTTCACTCGGTACTGCTTGACATTCCCTCCGTTCTGCGCCATGCATCCGACTGCCGCGCAGAGATGTTGGGAGAGTGTAACTTCCAGGTAAGGCTTGAAAAGTGTAACTTCCAGGTAAGACTTCTCCATAGAAGCAGATGTGTTCCCATGGTCCACAGACGTCCAAGGGTATACTGAGTTTCGTTTGTTTATTGACCATGACACCCTTGTGGGCGGCTACCGTGCTACTTGTCACCCCCCATTCCCCACTTCTGAGCTTGCAACTTGCCCCTCTCTTCAGGCATCTTTCTCCACAGCAAGAGCCATGAATAAATATTTTATCAATCAGTGATTGCACGACATCTCGTGCAATGGCTGATTGATAAAAGATTTATTCATGGCCCTTCCCATTTCTGAATGAGTTCCGCAGTTACGACACTCCCCCCCCCTCCTTCGCTGTCAAATACGACTCCACAACGACGCCGTGCCCTAATCACAACATGATCCACTCACATTCTTTCAAATGATCTCAAACCCTCCTACTTGCACCTGTCCTCGGTTGTTCACAAGCCCTTGGTTGTTCAAGAAAAGCAGTTTATGATGCCGCTCGAAAGCACGAGTTGCGATGCGATACAAGGAAGCAACCGAAAGCACGAGATTAGGACAAAGCTCAAATGTTCTGGTGTTTCGACTGCTGGTGTGATGTCTCACTGGTTTCGCAGAAAGCATAACCCGAGAAAATCACCTGAAGAAGGTCTCGGCCACTTGCAGACATGTTCGGCACTACCTGACCCCACGTCATTGCCGGATGATACAGTGGCATCGGCTGGAATTACATATATTAAAAAAGAAGAAGAAAAGACATCAATCATGCAGAAATTATCTTGAAAGTACGGCACAGAATGTCCCTTGCCTTGAAATCCGGCAGCTGCGACAGGCCAGGCCAGGTGTCATCGGTTGGTGTTCCCAACTGTTTAAATATCCTTTTTAGCTGATCGTCGACGTCTGCGCCAGGGAAAAGCGGTCGACCAGCATTTGAAATCTCTGAGAAATCATGTAGTAATGATGTGAAAATCGCAGGACCCTTACAGCGATCTGTACTCACCAGCAAAGATGCAACCTGCTGACCACATATCTATAGAGGTGTTATACAATTTCGCTCCAAATAAAACGTCTGGCGGCCGATACCACAATGTAACCACCTTCAAAAACGACATATTGCTTACTTGCGAATTTTACACAGTTATTGAACGGTTTCATGAGCACTTAAGAGTAGTCATTGTAGAACTCTACTAGGCGTATATATCCAAAACCTCTCAAACGATCTCTTAGAAGGTGATGTTAAAGTCAGTTTTTTTCTGTACAGACAACGAAATCTGGCCCTCTTATGGCTAGTTCCGGAGGTACGGAAGGACAGCTTGTTTTGAAAGCAAAGCTCCTGAGGTGTCTTCTATGTAGCGCCCTTAGTCACTAGCTTCCTCTGACCATTACAACAACATTGAACCTTGGTACATGTTCTGTGATCAGCAGTGTTTAAGCTGCCCCAGAAGCGATTTTTGAGTTTTCGGCTCCTGCCGCACCCACCTCGGCGCGCGCTCCGCCCACAATGAGCGCGTTCCTCTCACTTTAATCGCTGATCTGCTAAACACCCTTGCCCATTCTTTCTTGTCTTCTGGGTTGTTCTGTAACCAATCCACGAATTCTTGACGCGGGCCCCGCCCACCAATGGTTGTCCTGGGTGTAACCATTGCAGTCAGTGTTGGTATGTAGCGTTATGTGTAGCACCTTTATTCAAAGCTTCCTCAGACCTGCTCACTAGTACAAGCTTTGTGATCAGGCTGTTCAACGGCGTACATATTCAAACACAACAATGTTTGTTGCTTCCTTGATGCAGTGAGAAAAAATAATACCAAAATCGCACACGGATGAGTTCAAAATAATACGAATACAATCTTAGACGCACCTATGTTACAACAATTTAAAACAAAAATACAATAAAAACAAACAAAATATATAAAATAAATATATATTATTATAAAATATTTCCTTTGGAACGACTGAGCGCTGTATTAACTATTATTACCTAGCAACAGTACATATCCTTTTGATGGAAAAAAGACAGAAGTGTTAATGGAGCATCCCTTAAGTTGTATACTGAGTTCGTATGTCGATCATTACCAGTAACTACTCACAGCCCGGGCTCAAGGCAAACTGTAGATTTACCCATGAGGGCGCGAGGTGAATGGGTACGCAGCTGCAGTAAGGTGCTACTTTCTGTGCTCAAAAGGGCTCGGAAACAGGGCACAAAGGTAATAATACCCAGGTGTCTGCGCGGATTCCGCACACGCTATCCTCAAGTTGCCGCACTTGCGTCGATACCAAAATCCTCCACACGCAGTTAGGGGTAGAGAACAATTACAACAGAAATCGAGGGCGCAGTCAAATAGTACGTCTGGAAATGGTTAGACGTGTGGCTGACCCTACGGCAGCGCTGGTAGAGTCGGGACACGGCATCTGGGTATCACTACCTTCTACCCCGTTCCTGCTGCACTTCTGAAAGGAGAAAGTAACGCGCTATCGCACCATTCACCTAGTACATGGCAAGGACCAGGATCTATGGAGGTGAGTGTGCAGTGTCTTTGAATTACAGCCATATAGTCCATCACTCATCGAAGTCCGCGCCACCTATGCCTTTGAGGGATCGTAAACCTAAAGCATCTTGTTGATCAGATAGACACGAACCCCCTTTCACAGGCTTGAGATGGTGCGTCTGAAAGGGAACGTATTAAGCGCTACTTTCTACCCAGCCAAGGCTTAAAGACAGTCCCCGAACGCCCGTTCTTGTGGCGGTAAGCCCCCCAAGCTAGGATACTGCCCCACTCTAGCGACTCCACAGTGAGCGAGGAGCGAGCTACAACCGCCGCAAAAGTTCTAGTTCTAACGCCCGCTCAGTTGGACCGCCCCACTTGCTAGCTGCCCTCTGACGGAGAGCCGCTCAGTTGTTCTTTGTTGGGACGGCGGGCATTAATCGGAACTGCATGTACTTTTTGCTGACCGCGCTCGTGCCCATGAATAATTCTGCTCTCCTTCATCACATTTTATTCATTGGGAGCACACACAGTCAACAGCAACCCATCTCGTAAGGTAAAACAAGGTGCGCCTAAACACGAATGATGCAATTTCTGTGGTGCAAAAGCTCGACATGCACCAAAAGCTGCACACTGCACGTAACCCAAATTCGGACGCCAGGTTTTTGAATTTTTCCTTTTTTCAAGTGTTTTTCGTTCGTGTCTTTGTTGTTTTTCATATTGTTTTCTTTGAAATGGATGTTGTCCACTACTGGGAAATGCCATAAAGCGATTTGTGAGCCAGGGGTTGCCCACGGACCGCAGGGCGGTGTAACTGTAAGGGAGCAATTTTGTTTGTGGTGTTCTTGAGGGCTCTTGTTGCACTTTTCCTTCATTGAGGAAATACTAATCAGCTTTCTAGTTTCGGCTAGAATCCTTTCCTAGGGAAGGACTAACTCTAAGCTGGCTACAAAAGACCAGCTGGCTACAGGACACCCCATGCTAGTATTTTGAAAGTAGTTGTAAACGCTTACCTCCGCACTATAACATCGAACTGGGACGCCAAACGCACGAGCAAGTCCAAAATCAGCCAATTTCAGCTGGCCATTGGAGTTGATAAGCAGATTTTGTGGTTTCAGATCACGATGAAGAACGTGATGTGCGTGGCAAAAAGCCAGTCCTCGCAGCAGCTGCAGCATCAGCGACTTCGCCATCTGAACCCCTATATATTCTGCACTTCTGGCTCAGATAAACTATCTAAAAAGCCGAGCAATGCTGAACCTGTTGATCGATATGACCATTCAGAGAATCGAAAAACTTCTTCAAATCCTGATCACAATATTCAAATACCAGCGTTAGCTTGCTTTCGGAATATATGACGTCATACAGACGGACGACATTTCTATGTTTCAGTTCCCTCAGAATACAGATTTCTCGCAGTGCTGAACTCGGAACTCCCTGGAAAAAAGCACTTGGAATATCCGAATGGAATAGCAACTAGAAATAGAAATTTGTAATCCGGTTTTTACAGATATTCATTTCCGTACTCTTTTGTTCCAGCTCAAAAGACTAAGGCTTTGGCATTAAAGAGTACCCCCGCGATTGTATATTGTGGGTAACAGCTTCAGTAACGAACCTATAGTCGCTGAGTGACTCTATAGGGAAGAAAAAAAAGCAGAAAAAAATCATGAAACACAAGAGTAAGGACACTGTAGCCTTTCTGGACGAGTTTTCCGGACCTGCTTGTTCTGAGGAAGTAAAGCTATACCCTGTTGCTTCTATCTCACCAATCATTTCTTCGCGTCATCCAGTGCCAACACCATCTGACAAACTCGTGATAGAAAATGGCCTTTGAGCTTTGGTGAGCGGGGCAAATAAGGAGGCATGAGAACTGCCACTTATAAGGGCTGCTACTCCTTCACTACTTCGTGTAGAGCTGCAGAAGCGGTAACCTCGGAGACTGAGGACAAGACTGCTTGTACAAGGCAGGGAGCCTATGAATTGGCTGCAAGCGCAGACTGTCTTTGAATTACCATTCAGAACCGTAACAGCATTTCAATATGATCGGCCCATGCAATGTCTGGTAGGGCC